CATCTCAGTATAACCTTCCTCACATTTAGACGACGACTTATCGATACTGACTACGAAACTATGTATGAAAATAATCAGTCTTGTGTATCTCTTAATAGTCGTCATACAGATATGTACTCAGTTAATATCGGTGTTAAGGTTTTCTTATCTCATTATTCTCATTATATATAAATGATTTGGCTCAGGAAATAAATGATTTACAATGTGGCATTGATATGGACGGCACTATGCTCAGTGAACTAGAGAATTTAGTTGTTTAAATGCTATTCACAACAGAGCCTGCCATGGTAATAAAACTCTAAATTTGACCATCCGCGGCGAGATGGATTGGTTGTCTTGCACAACAAAAAAGAAAATTGAGGTAATCCGTGTTTGGAGAAAACTGAACATGGCAGCCGCATCGTGAATTGTAAATGTAGTAAAATTTTGGTCTTTTAATCCCGTAAATCATGGGTAAATACAGTAATTAATTTAATCCATCAATCCATAATGGATTGACGTGTTCTACAATGCACTGAGAGATTTTAATGATATAAAAAATAGTCTGATTGCTATTGATCACGATATTTCGCTTCGAGCTCCATGCAAAGGCAGTGGCCAAATAATTGGAAATAAACTTTTAAATAATAAAAGTTGAGATGATTTGAAACTACACTAGAAGTTTCAACTTATGTACGATCTATAACTATACACAGTTGTCCTTACTAAATACTAAGCGACAAAAGAAAGTATAGGTTGGCAATTTGTAATTTTCCTAAAAACAGCGATAACTAGTGGAAAGTGGGTATTGGGAATATGACTGCCCAAGAACAGGTACCAAAAAACACCTCACCCGAACGCGCCACATTTGACGGCGCTCGTGCGGTGACAAAAAAAATGGTGAAACAGGTTTCCCGCCTATGGTATAAACTGCACGAGCAAGTTAGCTGTATAAATGCGTTCGTCTGCAGGGTATAACCACACGTGATGAAAGCACACAAAATAAATGCCACGACTGTCACAGGTGCAGAGAGAGAGAGAGAGCCATCGATATGGCCGAAATAAGGGCAACACGGGTCAAAATTGCCAGAAAGTTTGGTTGTACACCATGGACAGTAGCCAGGCTGATTCAACGGTACAAGCAGACAGGGAGGACACAGGACAGGCCTAGAACCAGACGACCCCGAGTGACAACACCACTGGAAGACGGTCAGATACGGCTCATTCACCTGCGAAACACATTCGTAACGACGACGGCAGCAACAGCGTTGGGACATCCCATTAGCCAACGTAAAGTACTACGACGACTTCGTGCTGCCGAGCGTATCGTCCTTTCCGAGGAATGGTACTGACTGCTCGCCTGAGACTACGATTAGCGAGGCGGGTTCGATGCTGGCAAGTGAGAAATTGGCGTTGAGTGATGTTTACTGATGAAAGTCGGTTTAACTTGTTTCGAAATGACGGCAGAGAACGAGTTTATCGACGCAGAGGGGAACGTTTGGCTCTGGCGTGTATTCGAGAGGTCCATCCATTCGGCGGTGGAGGTGTCATGGTGTGGGGCGGTATTTGTGGAGATCAGTAGACTGATTTGGTGATTATACAGGGAAACCTAAACGCTGTGCAGTACAGAGACCAAGTGATGCAGCCAGTCGTGCTTCCGTTCTAACAAAACCAACAGCAGGGCAAATTGTTTCAACACGACAATGCCAGGTCCCATACTGCAAGACCGACTCGGAACTTTCTAAACCAGCAGAACGTTGACGTTTTGCCCTGGCCTGCCCACTCACCCGATATGAATTCTATTAAACATCTTTGGGACCATCTTGACAGACAGATTAGAGCACGCCATCAGCCTCCCGTCAACAGACAAGAATTGCAGCACGCCCTGAGAGACGAGTGGTAACGGGTTCCAGTCCACGTCATCAGAAGACTGACTTCATCGATGAGGCGGCATATCACAGCATGCATTGAGGTAGCTGAAGGTCATACACGCTATTGAAGGCAACTGTGTCGACGATGAACTTGTAGAAAATTAAATTTCTTCCCCACCATTCCCTTGAGCTTACATTACCTATGATTGCACAATTTCATTCAAACTGTGGTTGATCCATCATTTGTTACCCCTCCCTAGATTATATTATAATTCACAACAAAACCTCTTCTTGTTATTTTTTTTATCGATCACGGAACTCGACCTATACTTTCTTTTGCCGCCCAGTTTATTATCGTAGTGTTCTTGCAATGTTGACATGCGGTACACTCCCTCCAGAAATAGAACTCGGTCGAATTTCACGTCCAAGAACTCACTTCGTCGTATTTGGTAATACTGTGACCACCAACAAGTGGAAGATGAAGTTCACTTTTTAACTAAATGTCAATTCTTTTCTGAGATAAGATTTGTGGGCACATGCGCTCAACATGACCCGTTGTTCTCCAATATGTCACCAATTGACCAGACCATATCAATAATGAAGAATGATCTGATTATTTCCCCCTCCCCGCTGCTGCTACTTTAATGTTTATTCGCAAAAGTTCACTGCGCCATCTTTCAAATTTGATAATGATTGTATTACATATTTATGCACTTACGTGCTTTTGTTATGAATATATTTGTATTCTGGTGTCTCTTAGGCCTTTGTTGGCCAGACAATGCACATTGATGAATGTTATGTATTATATTATACGTATGTGCATTGTGTGACACCGTAATAAAATAATCTTCTTCTTTTTCGTCCTCTTCTCGTCGCGGTGTCAAAACGCAAATGTAACTTAGTGCATGATGACAACATCAGCGTCTGCAGGTCCACGCTTCTTCTCCACACGGCAACTTACAGGACTTCTCATAACCCTACTGTTGGTTAATGTGGGACATTGTTATGATATATCACACTCAGTCAATATTTGATTACAATATTCCTTTGGTTTCTATTTACTGTCTCGTCGCTTTTAAAGGATATACGGAATTTTTTTTTCCGAGTTTTGTGCCTACTAATGCAATATCCAAAAGTAAATTAACATCTTCTGTTACACAAAGGGCTACATGAAATAAATAAATGCTATAGAATATAACAAGCAGCAGGAAGTGCATGCTCAGTTGTATGTGTGATGCCCCAAGGACGCAATGGCCATACATCCAACGCTGTTACATTGAGTCACAGGTACTACTGTACCCTTGGGGCTAATATTTATTTTATTTGTCATAAATGACAATACCAAGGGTCATTTGGGTGTTTTTCAACCAAGCGTTGGGGATGTCCTAGTTCTTCCAAGTTGTCGACCTCCTGGTGAGGAGGAGGCTACAATGTTCTATAACGATTTACTAGCCATGCCTAAGAAAAACTGTCAGATTGTTGTATGTTTCTTTGTTCTTTAACGACGCACACTTATATATTATGAGCACCGTCTCCGTCTTCTACGATGACACGCATGCCACCACAACAACCACCACCACCACCACCACCACCACCACCAAGTCACCACCACTACCACGATCACCACCAAGTCACCACCACCACCACCACCACTACCAAGTCACCACAACCACCACGACCACCACCAAGCCACCACCACCACCACCAAGTCACAACCACCACCACCACCACCACCAAGTCACCACCACCACACCAAGCCACAATCACCATCACCAAGTCACCACCACCACCACCACCGAGTCACCACCACCACCACAATCAACTCAACACAACCATCAAGTCACCACCACCACCACCAAGTCACCTACACCACCAAGTCGCCACCACCACCACCATCACCAAGTCACTACCACCACCACCAAGTCACCACCACCACCACCACAACGCCCACCGCATTGTCGCCACCACCATCACCAAGTCACCACCACCACCACCAAGTCGCTACCCGCACTACCACCAAGTCACCACCACCACCACCACCACCAAGTAACCTCAACCTCCAACACCACCCCCAAGTCACCTCAACCTCCAACACCACTAAGTCACTAACACCACAACCAAGTCATCACCACCATCACCAAATCACCACCACCACCACCAAGTCACCTCAACCTCCACCACCACCAAGTCACTAACATCACAACCAAGTCATCACCACCACCACCGACTCACCACCACCACCAAGTCACCACCATCACCAAGTTACCACCACCACCACCAAGTCACCACCACCACCGTCACCAAGTCACCACCACCATCACCAAGTCACCACCACCACCACCACCACCACTAAGTCACCACCACCACAAAGCCACCACCATCACCACCACCAAGTCACCACCACCACCAAAATTACCACCACAACCAAGTCAACACCACCACCACCAGATCCATGTAGTCATCTCGACAAGCACTGCGCCTTGTCAGATGTATTAACGGCAACTATAGTCACTTACAATTGCTGATATAAAATTCCTATATCTGACACTTATCAACCTGTGTTGAAAGGAATGCTTGACATGTGGAATTGATTGGTATCATTATCAATGATGTCCAAGAGGTTCAGAACTTCCCAAAGGGTACACGGTACCGCCATTGACGGGGTATTATTTCGATACATGTTTTGTTTTAACGATAAACGGAACAAGTATCGTATTAAATATCGTATAAATTGTCTAATACGGGACAACTCATTGTGGGACTTATAATCGGGTCTCTCAAATATGTGATATCTGACTCCAAACGGAGGCTGGACGCTATTTCTGGTAGACATTGTACAGACTCATGTATGAGGCTCATTTAAGAGGCTTCCAAAAAATGCAGCCACCTTAATTACAGCATGTTTGAAACAGGATAAATTGTACTGCTGAATAGAACACAAAGGTTCTTTAATTGTTTAGGAAATATTTGGTGATCTGGCATGGAAAAAAGATAAGTTATAGTCTTTGTGAAAAGTACACCCATCGAGTGCCGTCCAAGTATCTTGCGGCAAGATTGTAATTGTATACATTATAAAAAGAAAATACAATGGTCCCTGATTTTATACAACAACTCGATCATGTTTTTATTTGAACCTTTATTGTTTTACAGATTGCCAAGTTTTTCACATTCACGTGGACATTTGGCGAGTTCCTTTGTAAAGGTGTCCACTATCTCCAGAATGTCGTCATCATTTGCTCAGTGGCCAACTTGACCGGACTAAGTCTCGAGAGGTAGCGTACTTACATTGTATTTCTCCCACCCTCAATCATATCCCCACATTGCAACAACCGTACCGTATTTTTGTGAAACGTTTATTACATACATGTTTTGTTTAATCGGTAATATAACATACGTAAATAACACCGATTACACCAAAGGTGGACATGACATGTCATATTGCCGATAACACTTAAGGTAGACGTGATGTGCTGTAATATTGCCCATAACACTTAAGGTAGACGTGATGTACTGTAATATTTGCCATTACAATTAAGGAAGGCGTGAAGTACTGTAATATTTGCCAGTACACTTAAGTAAGACGTAAGACTGTAATATTGCCCACTACACTGAAGTAAGACGTGATGTTCTGTAATATTTGCCATTACACTGAAGTAAGACGTGATGTACTGTAATATTTGCCATCACACTTAAGGTAGACGTGATGTGCTGTAATATTGCAGATAACACTTAAGGAAGACGTGATGTTCTGTAATATTGCCCATTACACTGAAGTAAGACGTGATGTACTATAATATTTGCCATTACACTTAAGGTAGACGTGATGTACTGTAATATTTGCCAGTACACTTAGTAAGACGTGATGTACTGTAAAATTGCCCACTACACTTAAGGTAGACGTTAAGTACTATAATATTGCCCATTACACTGATGTAAGACGTGATGTACTGTAATATTGCCCATTACACTGAAGTAAGACGTGATGTACTATAATATTTGCCATTACACTTAAGGTAGACGTGATGTACTGTAATATTTGCCAGTACACTTAGTAAGACGTGATGTACTGTAATATTGCCCATTACACTGAAGTAAGACGTGATGTACTATAATATTTGCCATTACACTTAAGGTAGACGTGATGTACTGTAATATTTGCCAGTACACTTAGTAAGACGTGATGTACTGTAATATTGCCCACTACACTTAAGGTAGACGTTAAGTACTATAATATTGCCCATTACACTGATGTAAGACGTGATGTACTGTAATATTGCCCACTACACTTACGGTAGACGTGATGTACAGTAATATTGCCCATTACACTGAAGTAAGACGTGATGTACTATAATATTTGCCATTACACTTAAGGTAGACGTGATGTACTGTAATATTTGCCAGTACACTTAGTAAGACGTGATGTACTGTAATATTGCCCACTACACTTAAGGTAGACGTTAAGTACTATAATATTGCCCATTACACTGATGTAAGACGTGATGTACTGTAATATTGCCCACTACACTTACGGTAGACGTGATGTACAGTAATATTGCCCATTACACTGAAGTAAGACGTGATGTACTATAATATTTGCCATTACACTTAAGGTAGACGTGATGTACTGTAATATTTGCCAGTACACTTAGTAAGACGTGATGTACTGTAATATTGCCCACTACACTTAAGGTAGACGTTAAGTACTATAATATTGCCCATTACACTGATGTAAGACGTGATGTACTGTAATATTGCCCACTACACTTACGGTAGACGTGATGTACAGTAATATTGCCCATAACACTGAAGTAAGACGTGATGTACTATAATATTTGCCATTACACTTAAGGTAGACGTGATGTACTGTAATATTTGCCAGTACACTTAGTAAGACGTGATGTACTGTAATATTGCCCACTACACTTAAGGTAGACGTTAAGTACTATAATATTGCCCATTACACTGATGTAAGACGTGATGTACTGTAATATTGCCCACTACACTTACGGTAGACGTGATGTACAGTAATATTGCCCATTACACTGAAGTAAGACGTGATGTACTGTAATATTTGTCATTACACTGAAGTAAGACGTGATGTACTGTAATATTTGCCATTACACTTAAGGTAGACGTGATGTACTGTAATATTTGCCATTACACTTGAGGAAGACGTGATGTACTGTAATATTTGCCATTACACTTAAGGTAGACGTGATGTACGGTAATATTTTCCATTACACTTAAGGTAGATGTTATGTACGGTAATATTGTCCATTACACTTAAGGTAGATGTTATGTACTGTTATATTTGCCATTAGACTTAAGGAAGACGTGATGCACTGTAATATTGCAGATTACACTTAAGGTAGACGTGATGTACAGTAATATTTGTCATTACACCCTAAGGAAGACGTGATGTGCTGTAATATTGCAGATTACACTTAAGGTAGACGTGATGTACTGTAATATTGCCCATTTCACTGAAGGTAGTAGGGATGTACCGTAATGTTTGCCATTTCACTTAAGGTAGACGTGATGTGCTGTAATATTGCAGATTACACCTAAGGAAGACGTGATGTACTGTAATATTTGCCATTACACTTAAGGAAGACGTGATGTACTGTAATATTTGCCATTACACTTAAAGTAGACGCGATGTGCTGTAGTCACACGGATCCAACCATATTCACACTCACACACGAAATTACACTCACACGCATTGACACTCACATGCATTGACACTCACACGCATTGACACTCACACGCATTTACAATTACACGCATTTACACTTACACGCATTTACACTTACACGCATTGACACTCACACGGATTCACACTCACACACGTATTGACACTCACCCGTGATAATCTGTGAGATTCTGTCCCGAATCTAAAGTACACAAAGAAACAGAACTGTACCATTGATATTTTATATATACTGAAAAACAGTAATGGGCCCCTGGTATTTTTCATGCACTGATGTTGATATCGTGTGTTCCTTAATCCTGACTTTGACTGAGATTGACTACCAACGCCTTTATTTGATGCAGAGAAACATGGTTCAGCTCACAGAATTCTTGTGCATTTTGTGTATAGTGCATCTATAGGTTTAGAATCCACAGAAGCTAACACCGTAAGGACAAGAAACTAGCCCAGTGTCAGATACCATGCTTAAATCCTTCCTCCGATTGTTAGACCTTAAGCCGATCATCGGGGGACATGTTCAATAATAATCACACCTGTCCATTCTAATGATCTCAAATTAAGATTTAGTATAATGATATAATTCAATAATTGCATATAGTGACATGAAACATATTTACTACCCCGATACTATACCTATCTGACAAAACATTCATAGAAGGTCATGTCAGGTGAGTCCTAAGCGAACTTAGATCGCCAAATCTAAAGGACGCGTAGGTTTGTTAACCGTCGTTAACCGAACATATAGTACACCACTTTGGATGTAGATGTCATGGAGCTCAGATAGGATACGATAGCTAAAGTATCCACAACATATACAGAGCGCCCTTCATTATTTTGCATTCCGAGAGTTCGTTTGCGAGGTACAGAAGTCAGATATGCTGCATGTCACTCCTGCGGATAGTTTAGAAGCTTCGGCTCCTATTGGCTAATAAGAAAGTTCACCTGACGCTCCCGTCCACAAATGTTCGCACAGAGGGTTATTGTATCGGAGAAAAATGTGTTAATTCGATTGACTACGGTATTGAAAATTCAAAAACATTTTATTGGGTAAATGTACATGTGTACATAGGTCGCAAATTATTTACATTTTAATCCTGAATTGAAGAGAAACTGAAGTGTATGTCTCTAAGAGTACAACTACATACATTGAACACCCAGACGGTATGTAAAATAGTGTATGAATTTCAGGTACTACGCCATCCTACACCCTATGAGAGCCAAGTACACCTGCACCGTGGCTTTGGCACGAAGAACCGTTCTGATACTTTGGGTTCTCAGTATCATAATGGGCGTACCAATACTCATTGGGCAGGTAAAAACACTGTAAACACATGTTATAAAATTGTCCCAAACTATTACTTTGGTTAATATTTATTTTTTAAATTATATATTGAAAATCAAACATTTTTGTAAAACGTTTCGCATCAAAACGTGAAACGAAACAGTTCTTTGAATAAACAAATTAAACCGAAGTGACAGATAGCTGCTACTCTACGATAGAGGATCCTGTAACTAAACACCTGATGTGATAGAAAGTTGTATTGAATATTCATATGGGACTATGTTTTTTTGCTGATTTTTTTTTTATAAGTTTACATGTTCGTGTTGAAGTAACAATTTTTAAACAGTACAGGCCAAACTGTTTGGCGGAGATAGCTGGGATAGGATTCATTCTTTGAAAGATGAACAGTAGGTAGTGATGTGCACTTGTGACTCCAGCAACACATCCTGGTGGGGTCCAGGCGGAAAGGTTACTGGTGCATGGAGCAGTGGGATCTCCCTATCTACCACCAGCTCTACCAGATATACATGTTCTTCCTCATCTTCCTCCTGCCCTTGACCTTGATGACGTTCGCCTATGCCAGTATCTGCAGAAAGCTTTGGCTTGTTCGCTATCACAGAGCGTCTATCAGGGCAAACAAGTAAGTCGACAGCAGGCTCCTAGTGGTTGTTTACGACATTAGCTTGTCGGTTATTAGAAGCAGACTGATTTGCGTAACGTGATGGGAAACGCTGTTGATATGCCTGGATATTTACGATATGTTATTCGGTGCAACATTAGTTACCCACTGTGAAGGTAATCAATTATACGGATGACTGGTAACAATTTGGATGTTTATATTAATTATTCAAGAAAACAGTGTGTTAGGGAAGATAACTTATGGATTTCAGCTTCTTTATTATGAGGAACACAATGTTTCGGAGTATATAATTACTACTATCATCATTTTCTTACTTGTGTGCATCACTTCTAAATGCCATTCAAAGGCTTGAGGAGTGTGTTAGTCAGAAAACCTTTTTGTTAATGGCAAATGAAGCATAGTGTTGTTTCCTTTGTAAAGATTCCTCATGATGCTCTGTGAAGTAAACACGTAACCAGAATGGTATCACAATACCTTCATTTTCACTACCTGAACAAAATACATCATGTCATATATATTCAAATGTTTAAAGGCAGTGATTGAGCGTTCATTCTAGGTGTGGCTTGTTCCCAAAACGATGCTTACATTGTCGTGCTATTGTTGGCGTAAATTATATCTACACAGTCCTAACTGGTAGTTCTGGTGACCGGTACAGAAATGGAAACCAAGTATTACTTATTTAGATGTCATGTTACTTTTGGTCATCAAGGATTTTGGAGTCGCTCGATGGGCGCCTTTAAGGAAGATGTGACAATATTTCATGGACGTTTCGATGGGCGCCTTTAAGGAAGATGTCACAATATTTCATGGAGGTTTCGAGGGCGATATACTTCCAAACAAAACAAGAACAAAATATTACTGTATTCTTTACTTATTACTACTCTTATAACAAGAGGATATGTTGTTTTGTCATCCAGCTTACGGTACTCATGCCAGGAGACAATCCTGCTCAATGGGGACACTACACCCGGAGCCTTGCGAAGAGACAAAATAGTCCCGAGTGCTTTTACTGTTCGGCGGAAGAAGTTATTTGCTGCGGATGAAGACTCCACTAGGAAACAGGTAGGTGGCGACTGATGATGAAAATGTTCACTGTTGGATATATCAGCAAGTTCAGATGGTTCAACAAGATCCTCACAGTAACAGACCATTCTAAGAACTTATTATTTGTCGGTTACGCATTATTTCATTTCAAGTTTCATGGTATTAGTATAGTAAAAATGTAATCTACAAGCTCTATCCCGCCTGACTAACAAACACTCGTAAATATAGGGAAATAGCAAGTTAGTCTTAGACATTTTAGTCAACACAATATAATGACATTCATACAGGCATAATAATACATCTGTCTCTATAACTTTAGTTTGACATATTTTTCTTTTGGTCACTCTGGAGGGTAACGAGGGGGTTTCATGCCAATGGAACAATCAAATTCATATCTACTTGCACTTTCAGATGACTTGCCCCCCCCCCCCCCCCCCCCCAACGAACATATAAACTATGTGTAATGCATGGCCTAAATATGTGCGAGATAGGTATGTGGTAATGATGGTGCTGGACGTAAGCCTCTTTAGTTCACGTTTCAGGTGATAAAGATGCTGGTGGCTGTCATCGTGTTGTTTGCTGCATGCTGGGGCCCAATAATGGTCAACAACCTTCTGGTCTCCTTCGGCGTGCTGGAACAACTAAGCCTTGGCTACCTGAAGCCAATGAGGCAGGCTTTCTGGCTCATGTCGTATTTCAACAGTTGTGTAAATCCAATCGTCTATGGCTTTATGTCCAAAAATTTCCGTGATACATTCCGTTATACCATCGGCCTTTGTTGCTTGAGGAGGACACCCAATAGGATGATGGTATTGCAAGGCCGCTGCTCCCTGCCGTCGGGGCAGTCCACTAGCATGCGGGCAGCTTCCATGTATGAAGCAGACAGATGGAACATCTATCGTTGCTCTAGAATGAATATATCACATGGTTCCCAAACCACTGAAATGACAGACTTACGAAAGTGCACCGAACTAAAGACTCCTGTTAATCTGACCTTGAATGGTCACATCTGTACCAAGCCTTCTCATGATGTATGTCAGGTGCCGTGAAGTGTCATAAAATGTCCGGAAAGCTACGTTCCCTTCAAGTGTCAACTTCTTGTGTGTAATGTGGTATCACCCTGGACCGTCTTGCCGGGTTATCTGGACGTTGGCGTGTACACATTAATTTTGTTTAATTCCAGTTTGTGTAAGTACAACGCTCCACGATATCATCATGAGGAAGTCAACTTTTGTGTTCCGTGATCAGCCCCAGATTGGGGGTTCTACCTCATCTAGTGCCATAAAGTACTGGCTGTAGATGGCGCTATGAGCACCATCCTTTGTGTTTGTTTACTGTGTTAATTCCCTCTTCCGCTGTTGTCCAGTGCTGTTGCGATCGATGTTGTTCATCGTTATTAAATGAGAAACAATGCGACGACTTAGTGTTACCGACTGAAAGTGATTGTGTTTCTATTGTTTATGCAGTATTAAAGTTGCATTTCAAAAGCAGTTTTACTGTGTTGATCTGGTGGGGTGAGGGTGAGAGTAAATGGGGTTTAACATCGCGTTCAAGATTATTGCACTTATATAACGATGTGCGTGCGTGCGTGTGTGTGTGTGTGAGATACCATGCCGTAATTTAACATGTGTACCCCTCTCAGGCACAGAATACCGACTCCGAGCCGAGCACCTTTCATCGTCTTGAGGTGTGACGTTGCCGTGGAGGAAATCCCTGACGTTCTGCTCTCCGTGTAGACGGGGACGGTGGAGCCTCATGAGACCAGTAAGTGCAGGTCGGAGTGTAATGATACATACGTGTATTGTGGCTAAGATAATTTTGACATGAACTGGATGCTATCGAGTGTTGATTTTAACTAGTCAGCTATATTGCCTACGCAATACCCCCAGGTGAGAAAACCTAAACCAAGCACATATTTTATCTGATAATTAGATTCAGTTTAAAAGAAACATCCAATCCAGATACACCTTACAATACGAATATGGAAATGGTGTAATATCTGACATAGCATCTCTGATTTTTCTTCATCCTTTATTTCACACATCTATTTCTTTCTATGCTGAAAACGTTTGTCTTCGTCTTTCCGAGAACTTTCCCCATGTACAGACAAGTGGTCGCCAATGCAAGTATTTCGTATAACAAATGTGTATATCTCGTGAAGTCTCACAACGGTACGTTGATGCTTCGTTACCTTTAAAGCTAACATAGGTTAAAAACTGCCTTTGATGTGAATAGCTTGAAGCACAGTTAAACCTCAGTAGGTGGAACGCTTGGATTACACCCACGTCTGATAGGAAACAGGAGTGGCAGTAATACGTCACTGTTATGTGACCGCATAACTTCGTTACAATACCGACACCCTATCTTGAAACACCCACGCTCGCTGCCACAGTATATACTAGGTGGCAGGTTTAAAACTTTCGGTCTCTCAGCCACGTGAGACATAATCGTTTTATCAGAGATTGCGCTTCCATCTTAACCCTTCGCTCAGTACATATTTTAATCATTGAAAGACAAATGTGTCATCATTAACAACCATTGGTCAAGTACCACATATCATCTCACAGCATAATTACCAGCAATGTTGATGACGTCACGGAATATTTTAGAAAAGCCTAGGCTTGGGTTGAATGATCTGAGTAAAGCAATAAGTGTTTCATGTTCGTCACTGCTGTCAATAGCAATGGAAAGCTAAACGTTATGCAATTCTCAGATGTATACAATTTGGTAAAGATAAAAACGACTATACCATTTCAATTATCATGAGAAATATCTGCTAAGAACCTAGTCTATTGTACGATTCCGACTATATCAGGAGTGTGTGTTTATGAATCAATAACAAATAGTGATGATACCAGGTGTTCACTAAAAGGTGAGCGTGTCCTGACACACAAGTGGGACCAGTCACAACCAGGCACGTGGCACGTGCAAGGTGTTAACAAACCAGTTGTCATAAACAGGACGAAATTGGGATTCGAATCCATCTATGGACATCGAAACCTAATATACCAAGTGGACGCAACTTTGTAACTTTTGAAACATAACTCTCTGCGTTGTGTCTGACGAGCAGTCTTTAAACAGGGAATCGCATAATTCTGCTGTTGGAAATCGATGACATCCCTGGAATTATTCAACGAAGCGCAACGTGGGCGTCACATCATACAGATCATCAACTGTGTTGCCTGCTCTGTCACTCCAGCTAAACCCTGAGTGTTTGTAAGCTGTACTGGGAATTCACTGCTGTGAATCGACTATATGATCACGGCACCGAGACGCGTGTAAGAGGGTCCTTTTATCAATCAGCTCACATCGTTCCCATAATAGTAATTTGTTGTTAACGACCTGTCAGCACAGTTTAGGAGTCCTTGTGTAGATGACCAGTTATAATTAGTGTCACTTCTAGTCACGCTCTTTATTACAGAGGGTAAGTAAACAACGTCGACGTCAGATAACTGCCACGAAGGCAATTGTACGTTGTGATGTTATTCCTACATGTATTAAAGATGCAGTACTCTTCAGATGCAGTGGTATTTGATTTCTTATGAAGAAGGAAAGGATTTTGTCGCATTTACTATTATGATTCGTGTTTTCGTCATTCTTTTGCCCATACGGAGACGTAAAATAAATTTAGTACGTGATGACTTCACGTATTAAGTTTGTTACAGTAGAAATTCATTGTATGATGTCAGATGGCTAAGAGGCGCATTGCAAACACAAAAGATAGCGTTTATGTGTTAGTTAGGACGACATAGCACGTATGAGTGTCGCGTTCTGTTTGGCATGTTGGATTTGTCCGAAATATGTTTGAATTGTTACCTTGTTTCGTTTTGTCGCTGTGTGTACATCTGACTGCACTTCTTAACGTTATGACAGGACAGACCGACTGTCAACAACGACTGACCGTGGCCGTGACGTCTCATAGACTAGGGTTAGAGAAGCTTCCCTTTGACAAAGGGCAGCTACTCTAGCGGACAGACAGATGGATTGCCGCGAAAGGCAATTAAAAACAATTGTTGTTTTGCGTATATGTTGCTTCGCCACTGTATAAGAAACAGATTTCAGTTGGAACTATATTGGCTACTGTCACTGTCCGACTGACACATCACTTACCCTGTGACGTAATAAATATTAATGCGCGCATTCCAGAAAAACTCGCAATGTTTCGGTTATGTATGTGAGAGAGGGAAAGCGATTTTGAAGCACAGAATTAAAGAATGAAATTATATGATAAAGAGGTTATCACGCTTGTGTGTTTGGGGATGGTAAATATCCTGTATTAGGAATAAACACTATGTATTTAGCTCGCCAAGGCTCGCTAAATACAATGTTTATTCCCAATGCAGGATATTTACCATCCCCAAACACACTCGCGTGATAACCTCTATGTATCTGTAAAATTGTAAAAGACGTACTTTGGACTTATTGCCAGTCGGAATATTCCAAACGACGCACTCACGTAGTACCTTAGTAATATGTAGCTAAATGTATCTTCCCTTATTTTATCGCAAGAGTTTTTCCTATCTGAATTAAAACATATATTGTTACTTGTAGTCGAGCAGAAGTTTGTGAATAAACCTTTACAACATACGCGTTTACCAATTGCATTTACGGCACTGTTGATACGCTGCCAAAGGTTAAACACTGGCAACGTAAGAGCACTCCTCAAAATGATGCAATTATTAACACGGTGAATTTACAGATAAATATCTCAAGGACTTGTTGGGACCGACAGCTTGCTCTGTTTAGAGTGTTTTAACGCATTTCTGCGTGTCTCCAATGCAACCAGGTGCCCTGAGCTACAGCTGACAATGTGTGAGTTTGGGTTTACGAATTTTAAAAAAATAATTAAGTTGTATCATATAGTTTCAAGTTAACGTCAGTGAAACCCCAAAAAACTTTGACCGTATAAATGTACTACGTTGGCATTTGGTATTCCCCGACGAGGTTTGACTCGAGAATCCGATTCAACCTTGCCACGATACAGATGAAATATCATTGAGGAACCCATTACTCACTCATTGTCCTCAATTAGATTAACCCTTACAGTCCCGTGACGTCAATTCCACTGCAATTGTATCAGTTCGTGATTTGCATTAGATAATAGACCTGATAAATCAATGTCCTAATTTGCATGAATCGTTCCATATTGTATCAGTTTATTCTCTTTAACTCCGGGATTCAGACATTACATTCACAAATCAAAACCAATTTGTATAATTCTCAAACGATCTTCAAATGTTTCTAGATATCATTGGAAATCTGTTTTTAAGTAGAGGCTTGCTATTAGGTTCACGTCGCAAGCGATAAAGTTGATGGTCATTAAAACGTGAAGCAAGTGAAAGGAACGTTCCATTAATATAAGCCGGAGAGAGAGCATACAGATCCCTGTCAATAAAGTTGCTATATCCGAAAAGCCGGTTACTGAGTCATTAACTTGTGGAGCAGGTGATTGACAGATTCATCATGCTTGTGGATTCCTTGTCATAGAACCGTGACACGTGTCTCTCTGTCCCATCACGCATTGAGCGAAATGATGCAATAATGCGATCATTATTATTTAATAGAAAATGTAAGGTACTTTTTTCCGAATACTCTAACATGGCAGCCTGGACAGAGACGAGTGTTTTTTCTCCGGAAGTAGTCGACACGGTTTACTTCCTCTCACAGATGTATTGATGAAACCCCTGCAGTATCCGTGTGTCTCCGTGTGCCCTCTATATATTGCGTGGGCGAACAACCTTCCTTCCAGCCAGCTGCCTAACTGTTGTGCATGACAAGACAGTGACACAGCCTGGTTGTAATCAGACCTCTGATGGGACATATCCGTGTTGTCATTCTTAACACACACATTATCCTAATTTGAGTTAAGGTTCAGCCTTTCGAATATTAACTGCGTTTGCTTTTTAATGAATCCCTATACCTGAATAATACAACCTACTATCAAAGTACTGCACCTTCACTGCCCGTGTGTCATCTTCATATTCACACATGGTTTATACACTCTTCAAAAAAAAAAAAACCGCACAGGTAGTATGTAGTTCATTGAACCTGACTACACAAAACATCCGGTATATAAATTGGATATATGTAATTGGAAATTGTTGGTGGCCTGCAGTGTCTTAAACGGCATTGTTTTCACACTTGTTCAAGCATGGCAAGGAGGAAAACAGTAAAGCAAAATGCACGTGCAAGTTATGGCATTCGTAATTCGTGGTAGTGGCTATAAAAAGGCAAGCATAAGCCAATGATTTGTCATTCAGTTTTCAACTTTTTTCAAGAAAATGCCAAGACTCAGCGTTGCCGATCGGAACATCGCCATAGGACGTATCCAAAGAGGGGAATCGCAGTCTTCTTTTGCACGCCACTTCAACGTCCACCACAGCACCATTTCATACATACAGTTCAATTCCACTGCAGACTGTCCGAGAACCGGCCGACCAAGAGTT